GTGACAATGTTGATTATGGGGAAGATTTTACGGCTAACAAGAATTATGGGTCGAAATCTGGAATGGGACTAAGGTTAAACAGTCGCAAAACGTGGCCCCCTGCAGCCTCTGAATGGGGAATAGCTTTAAAAGCCGTCATTATGGAAACTATATTACTAGAGAAGAAAAATACAGAAAATGATAATTCTCAAGCAGGAGTCGGTACTTGGAGTAGAGTGAATGATTTGGATAGTCTTTTGACGTTTGGTGTTAAACCAGATATGGATCATTGTAGTGATCCTAATGGTGAGTTTTTAAGTTGTTGAAATTATTAAAGTTGATAATTGTTATTCATATTTATTAATTCTAATTTTATAGCATTAGAAGCATTGGATACGCTTTATATGGATTATAAACCTCCTTACCCGATCAATGTGATAATAACTCCAAGTTCATTAGAAATGTATAATCGCCTATTTGTATTTCTTTTACGAATGTTACGAATGGGTGTAGTAAGTCGTCATATATATCGGCTCTTACATGATCGGTACCTTATTGATGATAAAGATACTGTAGAAGACAAGAATCTGGCGCAAAAATTTCGATTTGAAGCACAACAATTTATTTCAGCACTTCAGGGGTATACATTCGATGTAGCAGTATCATCTACTTGGTCACATTTTGAAAAATATTTGAAAAAAGTTAAAAAGGAATTGAAATTTCAATTAGCGCGTGAGCATTCATATGGTGCAAGCCCTTTAGACAGTCATTCAGATTCTCTTTCAACTGATATCACGGATGATATTGAAGAAAACAATGATGATGATAATAATGAATGCGTTAGGGATCTTGAATCATTGCGTGCTTATCACAATCACGTTCTAGATCGCATGCTTTTTCAATGTCTACTTGTAAAGGAGCAAGAGCCAATTACGGAAATTCTTAATAGAATTCAGACTCTAATACTCGAATTTGCCAAACACTTGCAAATACGACGTTCTCGTACTTTTGATGTACATATGCGACTTGAGTATTGGAGAAAGATCAAAAATTTATATGATCAATTTCGCTCACATGTGGGAACGTTAATCAAAACACTAATAGCACTTGAAGAAAAAGGCGGAGGAAGAATGAGCAACATCATATCTACTTTTCGTTTTTTAGTAAAATAGTAGTCAGAGGAAGGTTATATAAGCTGATAAATTATAATAAAAATTATAATAAAAACGTATAAGTTTACCATAAACTTAAGGTCCACATCTTTTTAACCTGCGAATTGACTTATTTTCAAATTTCGGAATTAAATATAAAATATATAGAGTTATTTAGAATAACTTTAAATTTTATAAAAATTGTAATAAATAAAATTTTACAAAAAAAAAAAAAAATTTACCGGTACTGTACTAATTTTAAAACTGTAGCTGAGAGTAGATTATTTTAGTAAAAAAAAAAAAAAAAAAAAATGTTTACTATAAATATTAAGTAAAAATTTTATATCAAATATAGCACAGTATTACTATTTTAAATATTTTGAAAGTTTTTGGTATTAAGAAAAAATTATATAATAAAAAATCATATTTCGTGTTTTACTAGATGATTTTAATGATTTTATTACTATTAAAAACATCTTAATAGGATTTTACAACTTTAATTATAAAATTTATTTAACAAAAAAATATATATATCTAATCAAATTTTTGTATTATAAAAAATTTATATATTTGAATATTTATATATTATCTCTTCCTGTTAATCACTTGTATCTAAATTTTTTACAAACAGAAAATAAAAATTTTGCTAGATAAAGTATTATTAAGTTGAATAGTTGGTATGGCTAATACTAAAATTTAGAGTTCCTATTTAAATCTAGGACGATTTTAACGCTCACCCAAAAACGTACTAAGTAAATGGGATCTGGTACTTTAAGTAAAAATGTTCAAAACCCCTGAAAACTTCACAAGAACTGAGATTAGAACCTTATATTAGCTTTATATTATTTTATATAAAAAAAAATAATTCTTAATACACTAACCCTAACCCTAAAATTCTTAGGCCGGTGAATTTCACCACCAGTTAATTTTAAATTAATTCTTAAATCTATAATATTTACTAAAATTTATATATACATTTTTACTAACAAACACTAACCATGAATTAGAAGACTATTTAAGCCAAATGAAATTAGTCAATGACAATATTAGAGCTCAAAAAGCATTCTTCAATGTGCTAATCCGAGTATATGAATACTACTAAGAAGGAAATATAGAAAAATATTTCAGAAGCAAAAATGATAAAAAACAAACAAATTATCTAAATAAACAAAACAAAAAATTTTACAACAATAAAAAAAAAGAACAATTTGGATTTAGAGATTATGGAATAATCAACTTAAAACTTAAGATACTACTTATATTATTAGAAAAGACACTACATATTAAAATATCCAAAGAAAGGAAGTTACAAACTAACCTACAAAAAAGATAATAAAAAAAAAATATAAAAAAATAATAGTTACAACAAAAAAGGAAAAAGCAACTTTAGAAAAGAATATTAAAAACCAAAAAAAAATAATAATATAAAGTAAAAAAAACTAAAAGAAAACTATATTAAAACAAAAACAAAGAACAAACAAAATATAAAAAACCAGATTTCAAAACTAGAGAATACAAACTATTGAATATATATAATAATATTTTTGGATTACTTTATAATAATAACAAAGTACCAGAACTTAAAAAACCTAAATTCAAAAAATTTTGTAGACATTATAAAACAAATACATATTTAACAAGAAACTGCTATAAATATAAAAAAAAAGAAAAAGAAATAGAGAAATTAATAGTATTCAATTCTAAAAAGAATAAATTTAAAAAATTATAAGAAATATATTTAATTAAAAAAGATAAAAAAAAATATAAAAACATTCTAATATACAATAAACAACTAAAATATAAAAAATAAACTAAAACACAAGACTTTAATAAATCAAATAATGATAACAAAGAAGAATTTGAAGTATCAAACTTAGAAAATCTTAAAATTAAATATGAAAATGATAAAGGTATTTATGATAATTATTTTTATAAAAATAAAAATAATTATTTCTAAAAAAGAGTATATTTAATATTTATAACCAACTTCTAAATAAACTAGACTATATTGAAGAGTTTCGAGATATTTATATTTAATTTTTTTTTTTTTAAAGTTAAAGGGAGCCTTTTGAGTTAGTAGGTTTTTATTAAGTAAATATAAATATTATATATTATAATGAAAGTATATTAAGCTACATGTATATTTTTGGTATCTAATTTAAGTAGTTTGTTTAAAGATTTTATACTATCTGCTATATCTGCAACCCAACTATAAGATTATCTATTTAAACTTTCTAATCACAACATACTGCCTATTCTATTTAATATATATATAACTTACTATACTATATATAGGGGGGAGTCAATAGAAAAGGGACAAATTTTTTCTAAGTAAAAGTTTTCTTGACTTTAAGCTTAAATATCTT